TAAACTTAGTATAATGGCACATTATGTAGTGTAATTAAATTAAAGAATTTTTTTAATATATATATATATATATATATATATATATATATATATATATCAATACATAATTTTATACAAAAAGAAAGTTTACTTACCTAGTCCAGCAGTTTTGAAAAAAAATTTCCATCAAAAATTTGCGTTGTCACGTGATTTCCGGAACGCCCGAGGTTTGGTCGCGTGAAATTTGACGATCATTCCATAAACGGGAAAATCGGCAATAATAACAGGAGTAAATCAGAGGTTAGATTAAAGGGTAATCGCCCTAATAATCAACTTACTCTCATCTAGTGAAACACTTTGATCCTTTCTTAAGAAAAGTAAAGTGGTTGAAGTTACTAATGCGTTTTCATGAACATTCATCAAATATTCAATCTTCTACTAATTAGCACTTCTATAAAATAATATTTCTACTATTTTATACCCATATAGTTTAGGAAAGTGGGATACCATTACGAAGTTACACGCAAATAAAATCGGAAAAATTCATCATTGATTCGATATTGATTCAACAATAAAAGAGTTTTGGCATTATTTTGTTCTTTGTTTTATTTTTAAAACTTTGAAATTAAAAACTTGCATCTAAACCTGTCTTATATACCACGTAATACGTATGTACCAGACCCTCAAGCGCGTTTTTATCATTATTTTTGTGTATTTATTATTATCAGTTATGCGCATTAACTTCAAAGTCAAAAACCGAAAAATCATCAAGTTAACACAATTCATGTTCTATGTAAAAGTAGTTCTTCGTATGTGTGTTTTCAAACTATTCGAACACGTTTTGATTTTTTTCATTTTATCAAGTTTATAGGTTATAAAATATTATAATTGTAAAATTTGTTGACTTTTATTTTGATTATTGATATGAAGCTAATTATCGAAACTATGAAAATTTTTAAAAAACGAAAATATATATATGCCAACACATTATAAATATAATAAATACTGTACTAATATACTAATACCAATACTATACAAAACTACAAAATCATATTTCACGATTTTATGTTAGTTTCTTTATTGTTTTAATTAATCTTGCTCTTTCAAAATTCTCTTAAATCCAAATGGTTCAAATTTTCTACCAGTACCCTCATAAAACTTGTTATTAAATTCAACCCTAAATTCAATGCAAAAAAATTTATTTCATTATTATCATTCAACACACTTTTTAAAATAATTGATCAGCATTTAATATCATAGAACAAAAACATACCAATGTAAACGTAAAGCATGTAAAAATGCAGATAATCCTTCCATAAGTATTAATATACCAACCGTTAAAATAAACCAAAAAATTGATGCAACAGCAATTAAAATTACTCCCAAGACACCTTGGTAATTTAAAGCAGTTTTTAATGTCATGTCCCATAATACAGATGACAATTCTTTTTTTATTTTATTTATTTTGGAGTTTTTGATTTAAAAAAAAAATTCATTGATCATTAGTGATTAAGGTTTTCATTGATATTAACATTAAAAAAATAAACATTATAACTTACGAGCATGTGCTAAACTTAAAGCCCATAATCGTAGATAGCTTGCAGTATTAGAAATGCAACCAAGGCAAAACTCTATAGTATGTATAACTTGATGAATCATGATTTCACCAAAATCAAATTCTTCCTCTTCATGAATATCCTCTGTTACCACAGCACCACCATGCTCATTATTTTCATCAGTTGATATACGTGTTGCATCCGTTTGTGGATTATGATAACCTTGTGCTCTAATTTTTTTATGATCATGTCTCATTATAAGAGGTTTTGTTAATAACATCCAAGGCACGCAAATTAATGCTATTATTAATAGGATAAATTGAACTTTATCCTGTATCATTAATATGAAAAAATATCAAATAAATGAGATAATCAACATGAAGCAATGAAAACGAAAACGAAAATGAAAATAATCATCACTTACTTGACCAGGATATAATTGATCTTTAGCTGCGACTTTACCAGGTTGTAAAAACATATATATCAGCGTATTCAATAAACCAGGTGGGCTATTTCTAATGGTTTGACCTGATTCGTCAGTTTCCCACCAATTAATTGTCCATTTGTATATAATAGTAAGCATAAGGTATCCAAAAATTGATTGCATAAATAACATTTGTGGCAAAAATTCTGTCCAAATACTCAAGGTTTTTTTAAAATATGTATAGTTGTATACGGTAAGAATTATACCAAAACTCATATGAATTACACCTAAAATTATTGACATTTTCATTTTATATGAATTAGTAAATAACAAATAATTCTCTGCACCATGCCAACTTGGATCAATTCCAAATGGATAAACGCCAGTTTGGATCACTTTGTAGGTTCCATCAGTGTCATTTTTGATCCATTCAAATCCAGGTTTTGCCAATTTTAATGACAATGAAAATATATCATTGTACATTAATCCAGTATACATTGAAAACAAGCCCATTAAAAGAATGATATAACGACCTCCAAAAAACATTTCAAAAATCTGGAATAGTTTAATAAATATTGTTATATATACACATACGAATAAAAAAAGACGTTATTATCATGACACTACCTCTCCTTTTCCATTTCTTTCCAGTCGTTTTTCAAATACAATCAAATATAAAGCTGCCAGTGTAACAAATACTCCATGTCCCAAATCACCAAACATTACAGCAAATAAAAATGGAAAGGTGATTATGGTAAATAATCCAGGGTTGACTTCACGATATTTTGCAATACCATAGGCATCGACAATTTCTTGAAATCCTCCAGTAAACTTATTAACACGATGGAAGGTGGGTGGTTCTTTAGTTGTACGAAGTTCATTGAGGATTGAAGGTACCATAGAACGTGATTGTTCCTAAAAAAATTTTAAATCCAATTTTATTGGTTATTATTATTATTATTATTATTATTATCATTACTTACAGTTGCAACTCTCAAGGCATTAGTAATTTGGCCAATATCATTAGTTGGGCACCATCCTTCAGCAATCAAACATTTTCTAGTACTATCATAATTAAACAAATTCATTGCATGATAAATTGCCTTTTCTTTCTTAATAATGGTAAACCAAATTGATAAATTCTCTGCAACTTTTAATAATTCAGTTCTACGAGCCTGATTTGTACTTTGTAGAACAGAATTCAGGTCATTAATGCTTGTAGTAATTTCCATTAGGGTTTGATGTCTTTGATCAGGATTATCATCTACAGGATAAAGTGTAGCTCCCAGTGATTCAGAAATTTTTTTAATTTTATTTAATATTTCTTGTCCATGGGAGAAAATTATAAAAACGTTTTTTTCTAAAACTTCGTCTGTTTCTGGATCAGTAATTAGTTCATCAATTTCTGCATGATTGATATAAAAGTTGCCACGTAATGCACGCCAAAGGATTCGTTCAAATATTTGCATTTTTGTTCTTAATATAACACCCGTTACAAACCTAGCATCAGGTAAATATATAAATTTTTGAACAAACTTTGGATCCAAATGAATTTTCAAAAAACAAAAAATATAAATAATTAACTAACCTAAAGTTGGCGTGACGAAAAACCAAAGATTCGCCCTGTTCAACATCAGTATTGTCTAACAATGGTGCTGTAGGTTCATCTAAGGATTGTCGTATGTCTTGTCGATTTTCTGCCTAAATAATACAATTAATTAATATATCAATTATTTCTTTCTTAACTGAATAATTAAAATAATTAAACAACTCACTTCTTCAAAAAATATAGCTGTTTCTTGTAATACATGTCTAGCCTCAGTCAATTCTAGGTACCTTTTTTGTAAAGTTTCATATGAGTTATTCATTTGTATGATACGTTGCTCATGTTGGTTAATTGTCTCTTCAAGCTCGTTAAGTTCTTGAACACTCCTTGCGCGTGCTCCAGTCAAAGGATAAATAGGAATATCCGTTTTTGCAATTTGTACACTAAAATATCCTATTATCATCCACGTGATATATGAATTAAATGGAATTTGATATAAGGTTTAATAAAACAAATAATCATCAGTTTTATTTTCTATCATAATGATAATAAACTTACGAAGTCGTCTTTCTATTTCATCAAAACGTCTAACTTCACTTACAAAAGCTCTTTGAAAAGCGTTTACATCAGGATTCAACTATGGTAATTGTCAAAGTGTTAATAAATTATAATATAGTACATATAAATTATACAATTTAAAGTCATTCATTACATCTCGAAATTGTATTAGGCCAAGTTCTCCTAATTCCGCCATTGTTGGTTGGACAGTTTCTGATGGAATGTAGAGTTGAATGAGCGACATCTCTTCTGAACGGAAGAGACTTGAATAAGGCATTTTGGGATTAATTGTGGACCGCCGCCTATTAATATTAATGATGGTAAAAAACTAGATATGCAGATCCCGAGTAATACCTCGACCACCTTCAATCTGTGTGTGTTACGGTACACGAAATGTTCGGGCACACAATATTTGTTTTCTTTAGTTATGAATTTGAGTATATATTTGAATTACATAAATGATAATATTGAGGTAGAAGATGAGAGTATGGAAGAAGGTACTGAAGAAGTATTTGATTTTGATGCAATTCCTGAAATTTCACCTCCACCAAATATGCAAAATTATTATTTTTAAAAATTTTATTTGGTTTTTTTTTTTTTTAGGAGTTTTGAACAGTTTAGGAATTCGGACACATTTTTTAAACCAGTTTAGAATGGTTTTAATTTTGAATAGTTCTAAATTCATGAGTTTCGGAAGGTAACTCTACATACAATAAGCCAGATAATATTTTAATACTTTCCTTTGCAAGCTAATAAAATCAATCGATATTTTGTCATGTGTAACATTTTATTTTTACTGTGCTAATTAATTAATATTGAAAGTCATGTGATAAATTGGAACGTACAAACGATCATCGTTATTTTTTAAAATCTTGATAAAAAAAAATTTGCAAAAATGTTCATTCACAGATGTCGATTCGTTGATTACGTACCCGCAACCATCAATTCCCTGGCTTTTACTTCGCCTTCTTTACCAAAGTTGCTTCTTGCTTGTGGCCGAGCTAATGGCGATATTGAAATATGGGAGCCAAAAGAACGTTGGAATTTACAAAAAGTACTCTATTAATTTGACAATTTTCCTCAAGATTATATTTAGGACTTATTTGTTTAATTTTGCATATTTAGACGATTCCAGGTATGGTTAATACCACTGTAGAAACTCTTGTTTGGATAAATCGTAAATCATCCTCTTCTAATCAATCACCTAGACTTTTTTCCGGAAGTTTAAATGGATTAATAATAGAATGGGATTTAATAAAGTTGAAAATGAAGGTTTATTGTTGTTATATTATTGTTACTGCTACTGTTATTACACGCATTGGTTATATTCTTTCCTTCCACAAGTTCATTCATTTTCTTATCCATTTCCAAATCAGAAATCAGCAGATTCATTAGGAGGTGCTGTATGGTGTATGAAACCAAATTATGCAAATACAATGTTGGCGATAGGATGTGAAGATGGCAGCATAAGGATTTTTGGTATATCTGATGATGATGAGGAAGAAGACTTAAGATTGATTAAGGTTTTTACCAGAATAAATGCTAAAGTTATTTCACTAGATTGGGGTTATGATGATAAATATCTTGTAAGCGGATCATCAGATGGTATAATATCTAAATGGGATGTTGATAAAGGTAATAATGACACCTTCTAAAAAATAAGGTTGAACCATATCACAAATTTTTAATCAATCAGATTATTATTATTTCTTCTTTAGGTAGATGTGATCAAAGGATGACTGCAGAAACTTCAAAAGGATCCGAGACAATTATTTGGGCAGTCAAAATACTCAAGTACATTAATTTCATTTTTTATGTTTAATCATTTAATCATTTTGATTTTTATGAATATGTAAATGAATGACAAATAAAAATAAATTAGAGATGAGATAATCGTTAGTGGTGATTCACTTGGAAATGTGCAATTTTGGGATGGAAAGATGGGTACAATGTTACAAACATTTAAAATTCACGAAGCTGATGTACTCTGTCTTGAAACAAATCGTGTAATTATTATCAGGATTACATTACATTATTTTCTTTTTCAAGAAAAAGCTTGATTTCTGATTTTTTAATGGTTATAGTCAGGGACAGAGGTTTTTTCAAGCGGCGTAGATCGTAAATGTTGTTTATTTCGTTATGTTGATCTATCATTGGAGTCAACTTCTGATGATGCAGATCTTGATTCGATTATGAGTTTGGATGATTCAACAAATATTAATCACATTAAGAATCTAACTGAACAATGGGTTTCTGTTGGATATCGTCGTCAACATTCTCATAATGTTGGAGCACTTGCTTATTTTGAAGATCAAGATTTTCAAGTCTTGGTATCTGGGAGTAACTATCAATTATTTTCATTTTCAAATTTGTTTTTTTAGAAAATAATTAAATACATTGTCGCTGTTATTATTGTAGGTGTAGATACGACATTATCAGTATCTCCAAGAGCCGATTTTCCTCATAATAAATTTCGCCATTTACCATTCACTCCCCAAAAACCTTTAATATGTTTATCAAAGTCAAAACAGTTGTTGATGTTTCGTTCTGACAATAGTATAAAGTTATGGAAATTGGGAAAAGGTTAGTATTATTATCATCACTACTATAGTTATTTGGAAATATGTTATTGTATAGCATACTAATGATATTGATAATGATTATAACGATAGCAATTAGTCAGGAAAATTCTTCTTATGAAAAAATACCAAAGTTATATATACAAGAACCTCAACAAGCCGTTTTAGAAATGACTCTTAAAGTAATCTATTACCAAGCTAATATATATATATCTGGTTTGAGTCAGTTATAGAAATCTTTTAATTGATCTAAATTTTTTTAATTTGTCATTTTTTTAGTGTGATAGTAATCTTTGTGCAAGTGCAATTTCTCAAGATGGCGAATGGATTGCAGTTTCTGATATAACACGTGTGAAGTTATTTAGAGTTGTTGATGATAAAGTATGTTCTCATGATAAATCATAATTAATATACATGCTTATTTATATGTGTATGTGTATGTGTATGTATATGTATATTATTTAGATGAATGATTCAGGAGGACTGGTTGTTCGTAAAATAAATTTTCCAAAAATTGATCAAGAATATATTGGAGCTCATCACCTTTTATTTACTCCTGATAATAGAAAATTGATAGTGGTATTGAATGACTGCCGGATAATTATTTTTGGATTAGATATTTCAAGACGTAATAACAAAATAGAAATCTTAACACAATTTAAGCAAATCCAAAACGAGCAAGAAAAAGGTTCGATAACTTCAATTGCTATTAGTAATGATAGTTTATGGTTGGCATGTGGCGATGAGTTGAATAGAATACGAATTTTTAATTTGGAAAAACTAAAAGTAAATTTTCTTTATATCTAATTTTCATTATTACTCGAGCCAACCAAATTATTCAAACTAAAATATTACATAATTGCATTATTTTTAGTATCATTCAACACTTCCAATATTTTCATCAAAACATACATCTTTAACTTTTGATCCATTTGAATCAATCCTGGTTATCACATTAACAAACAACATATTTTATCTTTGGAATATAATTGACCACGAATTAACAAATTGGTCACGACAATACTCGAACTGTTTACCTGACAAGTTTCTTTGCCTTCAGGATAAGATAATCGGTTGCACTTTCAATCCTACTAATAATAAAATCATGATTTTATGGACAAGCAGATATTTTTGTTTTATTGATTTCAGTAAAAAGGTCAAATCTAAGTTGAATTTGTTTTATTGTCACGGTACAAATAAACCACATCAAATTAATCAAAATGATAATGACGATGGTGATGATGATGACGATAATTATACTATTACTAAAAATAATACAAAAATAGCCAACATACAATTAGTGACTAGATACAAACAAATCATGTATCTTGATTTTATTTCACCTGATTCTTTAGTAATTGTGGAAAAAACACTGGTTGATATTCTAGAACAATTACCGCCTGCTTTCTATGTTTCAAAATATGGCACATAATTATTTGGAATTTCATCATGCATTTAATTTAATAAATTACGTTTGTGGTTTTTTTTTTAAATTAAATCACATCAGCTGATAAACTATTTTATAAATAATAAGAAATTAATAAGAAATTCTATCACCATTTTTTTCCAAAACTAATTCACATCTTCTTTTCATAGACATAATAATATTTTTAACTGTCTCCCGAGGAATTTTCTCTCATTCTTCTACCATAAATTGTTTCAATTCATCAACATTTCTAGGCATCCTTTTTTCAACATTATTCCTCATAATGAACCATATACTCTATTAGAAATATATGCATCATCTCGATTAAAACCATCTATCAAATGAAGCAAATGGCTTGTATTTCTGAGCATAATTTTCAAATTTAAAAAATCTACGAAAAGAAAATTTGAGATAAATTTTTTTTTAGATTTTTAAAATCCAATCCGCACTGTACTATTTTTTAAACTCGGTGATCGTCAAAGTTATTATTATAATACCGGCCTACAATATTCCCATCTTTTTATAAGCAAACAGGGCCTAATATTTTTGCCAATTATAATCTTTATGTTATAGATCAGTCAATATTATGTTAAAAAAACAATTTGATCACATGAGGTCGAAACCCTTTTTTTGCTAGAAAAGCTCCCATATTTGAAATTATCAGAAAATTGGCTCACTGGAACCCTAAGCTTGAGTTTGGAGACTTTTAAGCCATTTGCTTCATTCGATAGATGGTCTTAATCGAGATGATGGATATATTTCTAATAGAGAATATATGGTACATTATGGGGAATAAGGGTGCCTAGAAATATTGATGAATTGAAACAATTTATGGTAGAAAATTCCTCGGGAGACAGTTAAAAATATTATTATTATGTCTATGAAAAGATGATGTGAATTAGTTTTGGAAAAAAATGGTGATAGAATTTCTTATTAATTTCTTATTATTTAATAAAATAGTTTATCAGCTTTCAAATGATATATTTTTATTTAATTATGTTATGTCACAAAAATATTACATAACTCAACGATTACTGCCATTTTTTTTGTATATTAATATATTAATGCGAACATAATAATAATGAATATGAACCATGTCCGTACACTTTTAATATGCGATAAGGTAGAGATTAAACAATTTCTTTGTAGGCTACTTGGAATTAAGACTTGAATCTTGGACCAAAGTTAATCAATCAATCCTTGATGATTATGAATCTAATGCAAAGGAAAGTTTTATCCATCTGGCTCTTTGTTTTATATAATTAATATTAATATTTGTATACATTGAAATAAATACCTTTTAACTATTACACCATTACATTATTATTATATAAAAAATTTTAAATTAATAATAACTTCTTTACATTATATATATAAACAACATTAATAGTAATAATACATTTTAAAATTTAAATGTCTTTTAAAAAATATATATCAGAAATTTTATTGGCTGGAAAAATAATGACGAGAGAAAATTTGATCGGTGGATTTTATTTAAGCATTATTTAGCTAGAAAAAAAAACTAGAATAAAATTATCTTCTACCAAATGGTCGATCAGGTTGTCGTGTTGGTTGCGAATTTAAAGACCTCATTTGCCATTCCTGTTGGGGTTGTATACCACGACCCCGATTATCAGTTCCTCGAGGACCCATTCTGGGTGTTGATGGTGGTTGTTGCTGTTGGAGTTGTGGTGGTGGTGGACAATCATAAGGTGTCATTGGCATTGGTGGTGGTAATCCATAATATTGATCATAATATCCCCCACTGGCACGTAAATTCTGATTATCATATCTAGCAAATTCATGTTGATTTTCTAAATGTCTTTCAAATTCAATTTGTTTGGACATTGGTGGCCCCATCATAAGAGGAATAGACGGAGGTGGTGGTAGACCTCCCATCCATGTTCCATTACCCATATCCCATCTAACAATTCCTGCATTCATATGTATTCCACCTCTTCCAACGCCACCTGTTCCTCTACCCAAATTACCACTTCCATGTGGAGCTCCACGGGGTGTTGTAACTGAACTTGTACTAGGACGTCTTGTGCGACCTCTAGGAATATTGTTAACTACTATTTGAGGAGTTGGACTAATTGCAATTATACCTCCACTACTACCACCACCGCGCTTATTCTGTATTGGTGATCGATTGACCAAGTTTGTCTTTTTTTGTTGCGAATTGGTGTTAGTCAAGTTGATAGGGGTGGCTGTGGAATTTGTTGCTGTCACCAACATTTCTGGGTGTTGCTGATTTACCGGAATTTTGCCCGACATGAAATCGTCAACATGGACTGACGGTGGTCTACTAGTATTTGCTTTTCGATTATTATGAATACTTCGAAACTCGTTCTTCTGATATGTTTTCCCACCACCTAAATTCCTACGTGCATTACTCTCATATGCAACACCACCAAGTTTACTTAATGTACGCGTTTTCAAGAGTTTTCTATTTTTAGATGCATCATCACTAGACATCTTCAATTTCTTGTGATATTGGAAGTTAGGTAATATCTCCTTGGAAAATAGTTCGAAATCTATTTCAGTACTTTGTGTTGTATTAAATAGCTCATCAATAATATCTTTAAATTCAGAGTCGTCATCGTCATTTACTATATCATAATAAGGTATTTTTAGAAATTTATCTAAAATAATAATAATAATTGTTATTATTATTAGTCATTAATATTTTTATAATAAATTAATAATAATCATTAAAGCAAATAAAAACTTGCTTATTATTCCTGATGAATCATAATTGTAATTATTGTTTTTACTGCTACTGCTACCAATTTGTAGAATATCCAATAACAATCTTTGCGAAGTAGTATTGTTAGTAATAGTAGTGGCAGTGTTTGATGCATCATCATTTTGGTCTTCTACTAACATAACATCGTCTATTTTTCCATAGAATGAGTTAAATAGCAATGATTTCCCCGAGGGATATTTACACAAATAAGTCATAAGACTCAACCATCTACCCAATATTTCTTGATTCAATTCTATTTCTGATAGGATAATCGTGATATTTTCATCATTCATTTCATCACTATTATTAATAGCGTTACCATTAACATTAACGTTAAAATTATTACTACTAATATGAGGATCAGGATTAGGATTAGTAGCCACTTTTAAGTTTTCCATTTTTTCATTTAAAGAAATATGTTTCAGGGATGATTCACGAACTCCATTGATTATAATGGCTATTATACCTCTAGCTAATCCAAAATCATGAATGTCTATACAAACAATTTGTGCAGTGATTTTTTGGATTATGCTATGAATAAGTTTGGAGCTGGCAGGTATTAAACTTTTGACAAGCTGTATAAATTCATCACGTAATGGAACTAGCTGTTTTGTCCAATATTCACGAATCAATACTTCTTCATCATTTTCGTCTGGTTTTTTTTTATTTTTTAGTGGTGGTGGTGTTGGTTGTTGTTGTTGTTGTTGTTGTTGTTGTTGTTGTTGTTGTTGTTGTTGTTGTTGTTGTTGTTGTTGTTGTTGT